TGGTGGGCTAGAACCGCTGAACTTTTGGTTTGCAGTCCTGTGCTTATCCTATAAAACCACTGTGCTCCATATATATATGTGTGTGTGTGTGTGTTTGTATGCATAATGTATTTATTATCATTGGACCTTTTGGTACTTAATATTTTACAGACAAATTATTATTATGTTGTTATATGCCATCAAATCAGTTCCAACTTGTAGTGACCATATATAACTTTTCTGAGAGCAGCTGATGGGTTTGAACTGCTTACCTTGCTGTTAGCAGTCCAGTGTTTATCCTACAGAGTCACACCAGTGTTCACAGATTAATATTACTTATAGCAATAATAATGACAGATTATTATAGAATCCATTTTACTGATTTCTCAGTGAATTGATCTACTTCAGCTTACTATTAGTCAGAACTAACTCAACAACACTTAATAACAACAACAGCTGAGTAGAGAGTGCTGTAGGAGGCATGGCTTGGTGTCATGTTTTGAAAGAATTATCTGTTAAATTGCAAACCAAATTTCCAAGGAATTTAACAATCTTTAGTCAGAAATTCTTAAAATGAAGTCCTTGAACCATCAGCATCTGTATAACTCTAGAACTTGTTACAAATGTAAATTCTTGGGTCTTCTTGGGATGGGTCCAGCAATCAATGTTTTAATAAACCATCAATAATTTTATATGGTTGATAAATTTTGTGGACTACTGCTCTAAGACCACCAGATTGTCTTAGAGCAGGGTTCACATCAACCATGTAACATTACTGATTGTTTAAATGACAAACATCTATTGAGTGCTTACTATCTGGAAGACACTGTGTTGAGCACTTTGTAGATATTACCAGAACAGGATTTCTTTCCTGTTTTGCTATTTTTTGGATTATCACCAATTCTTCTGATGCCTGTCCTGATGCCCCAAACTGCTAAAGAACCCTATTTTTTAAAAGCCTATCAATTACCTGCACCATTATCCAAAAGTTCCAAGGTTTCAATTTTTCCACTCTTTGATTCAATGAAGGCAGTCACTTTAGCTCCAAGAACAGGTGAGAACCCTTGTTTAACTTCTGCATAAACTATCAGTGGGTTAGGGTAGTGGTTTGTGGCTGTGTTCATTTCAGCATTCACTGTGATTGGAGGCACAGAAGGATTTGATGCCCGGGAAGTTACTGTCAGAATTAATGTTTCTGTGTCTACATTGGCTTGAAGACTGTAAGTCCAAATACCCACCTAAAATATTTAATGGAAATATAATAATTAGTCAAAGTCAGGCTATTTCTGATTTTCCATACAAAAACAAGATTTTGAGGGTATGTACAGTATTTCACAAGGAGACCTTGTAGTGTAGTGGATTATAAACTGGGCTGCTAACCTCAAGGTCAGTAGTGCTAGTCTACCAGCTGCTCTATGGGAGAAAGATGAGACTTTCTGCTCCTGTAGAGATTTACAGCCTTGCAAACCCTATACAGGGTTGTTATAAGTCAGAACAAAGTTGGTGGCACACAACCACAACCACCACCAACACCATAGTATTTTATAGGTGAGAACAGAGGCATTTTGTACCAGTACACATACTAGTTCGATGCATGATTTATATACCTTATGAAATATCACCTGATAAAGTTCACTTTGATAGATTGTCCTTATTCTTTGATCTCAGCGTCAACAGATTGTATAACCCTGTTGCTGTTGTTGAGTGCTGTTGAGTTGTTTCCAACTCAAAATGACCCAATATAGGGTTTCCAAGGAGCGGCTGGTGAGCTTGAACCACCACCTTTGCGGTTCAAACCGACCTTGCAGTCCAGCACATTAACCCACAGTGCCACACCAGGACTCCTGTATCACCCTAGGTGATTAGTAAGGGAGGAGACTATAGTTATGTCCATACAGTGTTGTAAAGGCTCTTCAATATTTCCTCTTGGAAAAAAAAAAAAAAATTTCCTCTTGAAAATTCTTCTTGGTCAATCTGTATTTTATCCTTTCTTTCTTTCCCGTGATACATAAGGTTTTTGTTTTGTTTCACCTTTTTATTATAAATTGAGTGAAGTTTTAAAGAGTAGATCATCAACAAATCATATACTTCATTGTAACACCTTTAACTTAACTTATCCCAGTTTTTCTGTTTCTTGTTTACATTCCACCTTCTTTCCCAACCTTCCAAATTTTGTCCTTAGATAAATGCTGCCCTTTTGATCTCCAGTGGTTGACCATTCTATGAGTGTTATTTCCCCCCCTGTATACCTATCTACCACTTGACTGAAAATTGAGCCTTGAGGGTGAGTTCAGTTTAGACCTGAAAGGTGACCAATGGCCATGGCCTCAGGTCCCAGTCTCTTTCTGACCTGTAAGTCTGGTCTTTTATTTTTTCCTTATAATTTT